TTGCTTGAGACAAAGTCTAGCTCTTGTCCACCAGGCTGGAGTGCAGTGGCACAATCTCGGCTCACTGCAATCTCTGCCTCCCAGGTTCAAGCGATTCTCTTGTCTCAGCCTCCCGAGTAGCTGGGATTACAGGCACCACGCCTGGCTAATTTTTGTATTTTTAGTAGAGACGGAGTTTCACCATGTTGGCGAGGCTGGTCTCAAACTCCTGACCTCAGGTGATCCGCCCGCCTCGGCCTCCCAAAGTGCTGGGATTACAGGTGTGAGTCATAGCGCCTGGCCCTCCCTGGTTTAAGCTCATGTGTCCCAGGCTCCTTACCTCCCCTTAGACTTCATGTGCGGACACCTTTGCCCATCCCCAGCAGGAAATCCTCTAGTTTAGACAGCCATCTGAATGTAAGGGCTTTATTAATTGATTTCTCAAGATGTCCATTTCAAGGATATTCTAATTTTGTCATCTGGAACTCAGTAATGCCACAATTCTGAATTTCTAAGTTTCTGTAACCCAGATTTTACCATGCTAGAATTCTGTGACGCTAAGATTCCATAACTGTGAACTCCATGAATCTAGAATTTCATGATTTTTTAAAATTGTGTTTAATGAATTTTGTTGGTAATAGTAGCCAGCACTCTCTTGGCCTCGGTTTTGTGTTTGTTTTCTAGAAGTTGCAAGTCTCAGCTCCAGGCTTTCTTCTCTGGCCACACTGGTGCAGAGGAAGGTCATTGCCACCTCTCCCGAGGCTCAGGGGGTGGGATAGTACCCAGGGAAGCCCAGTCCTAGGGCCCAACACTCAGTCTACTCCCTCTGTCCTGAAAACTCTTACTTGGGCTTCAGTACCTGAGGGTAGCAGGAAAAGCAGTCTCCTTTGCAGGCCTTCCACCCAGCTTCCTTCCCTCCTTGCCCTGCCCCAGGGTCCGGGGAGAGAAAGTTTTGTGGGAGACTGGCCTGGCTGAATGGATAGGTGTGGGAAGGAGGGTTAAGCACCAGGCAGAGAGCCAGTGGAGGAACCAGGGGAAATTCCCTAGGGAGCCCTGCAGCCTTCCCCAGAGGTGAGGAAGGAACAGAGGCCGGAAGTGGGGGTGTGAGTGAGGGCACTGGTAAGGGTGGGGTGACCGGTATTGCATTGTGGGGTTGGAGCTGGGCTTCCGGCCATTGATCTGTTAGTGACAAGCGACCTCCAGCCTGGCGCCCCAGGAGCTGTCTGTTCGTGCCCTTACCCATTGACTCTGTGTTCCTGTGCCTGAGTCAGACTCCCAGGAAAATCTGGGGGGCAGGAGTTGGGGTCTGGGGAAACTGTTTCTCTAGAGCAGAGCCACAAGGCCAAGAGAGGGGCCAGGACATTCCAAGGGTCAGATCAGGGCTTGGGCAGAACCAGGACTGAAGCTCTGGGCTCGAAGCTCCGGGCTCCTGCCTCTAGCCCAGAGCTGGTCCCTTCACAGTCCAAAGGGCCCCAGAATTATAAAGTAATACTCCCCCAACTAGCCAGGTGGTGAAACTCAGGGCTAGAGGAAGAGCCCTAGCTAGGCTGCCTCCCAGGAGCAGCCTGGACCTTCTTCCAGTCCTGCAGCACATGGCTGAAGCTGCCAAACCCGATTTTCCAGTGACTGCCTGAGGCTGGCTGGAGCGGGAAGCCCTCCTCCTGGCATGAACCCTCAGGCCATCGTCCTCCTCCCCCTCACCTCCTGATTCCTTGGCCTGGCCTGCTCCTCCTGCACCTGTGCCAACTGTCCCAGTGTGCCACCACTTCCTTCTCCACCTGCCTGCCATCTCCCCTGGGCTGCTCCCCAGGCACTGTGAGGTGTGGTCCAGAGCTCCCCATCTCTGAGCCTTGGTTTTCTCATCTATAGATGGGGAATAGTGGCCTGCCTCCCAGGGATTGACTACAGGAATATTTCAAAGAGAAGTGAGGTGGGGGGGCCAACCAGTAGCTCACGTCTGTAATCCCAACATTTTGGGAGGCTGAGGAGGGAGGATCACTTGAACCCAAGAGTTGGAATGCAGTAGCATGATCTCGGCTGCAACCTCCACCTCCCAGGTTTAAGCAATTCTCATGCCTCAGCCTCTTGAGTAGCTGGGAGAACATGTTTCTACAAAAAAAAAAAAAAAAGTTTAAATTATCCAGGCATGGTGGCCTGCACCTATAGTACCAGCTACTTGTGAGACTGAGGTGGGAGGATAGATTGTGCCCAGAAGATTGAGGCTGCAATGGGCCAAGGTCAGGCCACTGCACTCCAGTATGAGTGACAGAGCGAGACTCTGTCCCTAAAAAAAAGGCAGAGGAAGAGCTGAGCCGGGTGGCTCATGCCTGTAATCCCTGCACTCTGGAAGACTGAGGTAGGTGGATCACTTGAGGCCAGGAGTTCGAGACCAGCCTAGCCCACATGGCAAAACCCCATCTCTACTAAAAATACAAAAATTAGCCAGGCTTGGTGGCACACACCTGTAGTCCCAACTACTAGGGAGGCTGAGGCATGAGAATCACTTGACTCTGGGAGAAGACGGCTGATGTGAGCTAAGATCGCGCCACTGCACTCCATCCTGGGCAACAGAGCCAAACTCTGTCTCAAAAAAAAACAAAAAACAAAAAGAAAAAGAAAGAAAAAGAAAAAAGAAAAGAGAAAGAAAGAAACAAAGAAAAAGGAGAGGCTGGGCGAGGTGGCTCAAGCCTATAATCCCAGCACTTTGGGAGGCTGAGACGGGCGGATCACGAGGTCAGGAGATCGAGACCATCCTGGCTAACACGGTGAAACCCCATCTCTACTAAAAAATACAAAAAAACTAGCCGGGTGAGGCCTGTAGTCCCAGCTACTCGGGAGGCTGAGGCAGGAGAATGGTGTGAACCCGGGAGGTGGAGCTTGCAGTGAACTGAGATCCGGCCACTGCACTCCAGCCTGGGTGACAGAGCGAGACTCCGTCTCAAAAAAAAAAAAAAAGAAAAAGGAGATATGAGTGTCATGGACCACCAGTTAGTTGGATGGTGGGTTAGTGCCATGTTGGGACCACAGTCTAGGATGTGAGAAGGAAGCGCTGCTCTGTGGAATTCTGGAGATACAGTTGTTAGGATGAAGGGTGCAAGGTAAGGGGTGTATTCCCTCTGGTTTCCTCAGGTTATCCTACCTATGAGAGAAGGAAGAACAGAGAGAGGCAGAGAACATCATCTCAGACTAGGAGCCCCTGTTACCAGTGCTCAGATGCCTCCTCACAATTTAAAGAAGAGCTTGTATAATCTGTGTAATGTGTCTCTCTCTGAGCTATAACTGCTCTGGGAAAGAACTCCCACTGCCTTGCTCACTGCTGTATCTCCAGAATTTAGCACCATCCCTGGCACATAGCAGAAACTGTTGACTGACACACAGTTGCAGATTGAAAAGCAGAAGCAGAGGCACCCCAAGGGGTGGAGACCATCTAGGTCAGCTCAGCTAACTTAGGCCCTTCCAGCCTGAGAGCCTGGTGTTCTCAGCCTCCAGGGAACTCTGACAGGGTGGGAGAGAGTGGGCGGCACCCAGTCATCCGGGAAGTCACCTAAACTGAGGTGGTGGATGCCCTCTGGCTGCTGCTGCCTCTGGGAGCCTAGATGGGGAGGAGAATTAGGAACCTGAAGGGGGAGGGGCAGTGAAGGAGACATCATTGCAGATACAGCTAAAAATAGCTGGAAGAGATGATGTCATCTGGTTCCCACAGCTTAGCACCCCCATCATACACACACTCGAGCACAAACACACACTCTCACAGACACAGATACACATAGACACAAGTGTGGGCATGAGTGCATGCACACACACATATTATACACTCTCATGTAGGGGAGGGAGGCTTCTGCGTCCCAGGGCCGCAGGGGCAGGGAAGTCTGGTGAGTGTGTCTGCATGCATGTATGTCTGTGTGTGCCTGGGTTTGCATGAGTGTGAAGGCATGTGTCTGCATCTGGATGCTTGTGTGCTTGTGTCTGGGTGCATACATATTTCTGTGTGTGTGTGTTCATTTAGAGGCATGCATATGTGTTGTTACATATGTCATGTGGGGATCTATGCATTTGTGTCTACGTATATCTGCTTATAGTATGTGCTTGCATGCATGTGTGCGTTTGTTGCAGTGTGTGTCTATGAGTTCACTTATATTTACATGTCTGCATGTGTTTGTGAACTGTGTCAATTATCTTTATATGTATGGCCCCTCTTGGGCCCTTGAGCATGGCCCAAGCACCTTCTAGGTTTGTCTGATGTCCAGTAATCCCCATCCCATACCCTGAGGAGCCCAGCACTGTCTGGGCATGGTGTGTCAGTGAATTTTCTACCTCAACCCCCCTCAGGGTCCCAGTCTCTGGCAAGAGTTGGGGTAGACAGACATGGGCACAATTCACTTTCCCTTCACAGGCAGCAAAGGACATTAGCCAGGCTTCCTGAACCCCAGGGCGCCAGGCCACCGAAAGTCTCAGGGTTCACTCCCTTCCCTAGCCCCCTGGGAAGGTAGGCCTGGAAATGGAGCCAGATCTCGGACTGGTGCGACACACATTAACCCATGCATAATGCAACATATTAGAGACAGAGTCCCACACAACGTTCCCAGCTACTAAGACACAATCCCACAGAAATCCGGTTACAGCCAGTGACACATGAGCACACACTCAGAAATCCAAATGGAAAATCCCCAGGCCAGAGAGCTTAGCACCCTCCCTACTTTCTGGGCTCAAACTCAGTCTTGCCCCACCCCTAAGCACCCCAGCTCAGCTGCCAGTTCTGGAAAACACTGACCTCAGAGAATGGTTGAAGGGCTGAAGGTAGTATGCCTTTCTCAGAATCTCACCCTTCTCCATATTCTCCTCCTTTAAGCTGTTCCCCATCCCCCTCCTGACCTTCATTTTTCTTACCAGGGCTGATGTCCTCTCCGGCACAACCATACCCTCACAAACACTCCTTGACACTCACAGTCAGTCACAGAGGCACATTCAATCACAAAGGCACATTCAGCCACATCTGCTTATACTCCCATTCTCCCGGCCTCAGACACACACACCAGCAGCTCCACCTCCACGCTGACCATCACAGGCACACAGAGGCACAACCACCTCACATCCACCTCATACTTGTGTACTCTTAGGGTTCAGTCTTCCATCCTATCCCTCTCTGATCTGTGCCTCCCAATACCTTCTAAGATGTTTACAGAGACCCTTCTCCCTGTGCAGTTAGGAGCGTGAGGCAAGAGAGCCCCTACTTCATGGGGCAGATCAAGAGCTGAGACCAAAGATGGTCTATGTTGCTGACCTTGTCCTGTCCTCCTACTGTCTTAACTATGATCCCTGCTGTGGTCACTGAAGCTTTTCCCTGTAAGTATTCAGCCCTAACCCTCCCCTTACACCCTGCATAGTCAGCTGGTTAACACCTCCGTGCGTGAGGAATAAGGCAGTTTGAGCAGAATGATTGTATTTGTTGCTCACCACCCCCACGGCCCCTAGGAGATGCGGGTCCAGGGCAAGCCAGGCTTCTGTGCTAGCTTCTGGGCACTTCTAGAGGATCAGAAAAATCCCAGGTTGCCTGAGATGTCTGAGAACTGAGGAGAGGAAGGAGAGGGAAGAGTGTGAGGAAAGCAGCAGTTCTGGAAGTTCCCTGCCCCTTGGATTTAGCCCCTTCCCAAACCCTCTGCTTCCAGCCAATCCATCCTCCATTAAGGCTGCCAGCACTTTAGGGTGCCTGCCATCAAGAGTCCACCATACATGTAGGGGTGGTATTTCACAGAGATCATCCTTTGGAGTGCCTAAACAGAACCAGGTAGGGAAATCTTCAGTGGCTCTGGGTTTTTTTGTTTGTTTGTTTTTTGAGACAGAGTCTCACTCTGTTGCCCAGGCTGGAGTGCAGTGGTGCAATCTTGGCTCATTGCAACCTCCGCCTCCCGGGTTCAAGCGATTCTCCTGCCTCAGCCTCCCAAGTAGCTGGGACTACAGACGCGTGCCATCACACCCGGCTAAATTTTTTTGTATTTTTAGTACAGATGGGATTTCACTGTGTTAGCCAGGATAGTCTCGATCTTCTGACCTTGTGATCTGCCCACCTCAACCTCCCAAAGTGCCAGGATTGCAGGCATGAGCCACCGCGCCCAGCCTAGTGGCTCTGTTTTTTAAAACCCCACCCTGGCTCACAGGCCCCCTGGCTAACCTTGAGGTGGGAAGATCCACACTATGGTGGTGTCAGTGTGGGTGTTGTTGATACCCGTGGCCATGGTGGCAGGATTGGTGGCTGCCCTGCTGGCAGTTCGACCTTGGACACCCTGCTGGTATCTTCTGCGGCTACACTTGAACATCCTGGGAAACCGGGGCCTGGGCCAGCCCATACCTGGTCTGCGGTAGGGGGAACGCATGCCCTGGGGCCGAGGGCCACGGACAAGCCGAGATGGCCCCATGGGCACAGGGAGCTTCTGCACTGTGCCTGGGGGATGCTGGTGGCCAGGGTAGCTGAGACCTCTATGACATATAAAGTCTGCATAAGGGCAGGGCCCTTTATTACAAGTCGTGGGCCCTGACCCCTCCTCATGGGTCAGGCTCCTTCACAATCTTCTCTATTGGGTCTGGCCTAAAAGCCAGCCCAACACCCAGACAGCCTCACTTTGGCCCCCTGGGAGAGAAGCTCTAGAGGGGGAACTCACTTCCTCACTTTCTCACTTATCCATATAGTAACAATATTAACAATGTTTTTTGAGCCCTTACTACGTGCCAGACACTGTGCTAAGCACTTTACCAACGTTATCTCATTTAATCTCATAGCTACTTTTAAGGATATGCCACCATTGTACCTATTTATATACAGTCAATTCTCATTATTCCCAGTAATGTTCTATAAAGTCACCACAAACACTAAATACTGAAAAAAGGGTAAATGCGAGGTTAGGTTCCTGAAACCCGCTGGTCACAATATTTTTGTCAACTGATCTATATATATAACCTGATTTTATGTGTGGAGACACCTTATTTAATACACATTGTTGGCTGGGCATGGTGGCTCATGCCTGTAATCCCAGCACTTTGGAAGGCCGAGGTGGGCGGATCACCTGAGGTCAGGAGTCAAGACCAGCCTGGTCAACATGGCAAAACCCTGTCTCTACTAAAAATACAAAAATTAGCTGGGTGTGGTGGCAGGTGCCTGTAGTTCTAGCTACTCGGGAGGCTGAGGCAGGAGAATAGCTTGAACTCAGGAGGTGGAGATTGCAGTGAGCCCAGATCGCACCATTGCACTCCAGCCTGGGCAACAAGAGTGAAACTCTGTCTCAAAAAAAAAAAAAAAAAAATTATATATATACATATATATTTATATATGTATATATATAGCTAAGTCACTGACATTGAACTCACGGCCAACAGTGTTATAACTTGTGCCTGAATGAAACTTATCTAAAGCATGTATTTCCCCTATAAGGCACATCACAGCCTTCTTGCACTTAGAAACACTAGCGAGCACTTCAGCACTGCAACTGGGGACCATTTGAGACAGTAAAATCACCAACAAAAAACACCAAAAAATGTGAGAATACGCGGCACTAAATAGACCACCAAAAATCACATTTGTTTATCTATGAAAGCTGAAATAAGAAGACAGAGAGTCTTATTGTTCAACAGACCTCAGCTGGAAATATGTGTGTTGGATGGCTGAAATTTTTTGCCTTTCTGCTCATGTCCATTAATGACTGCAAAAGTACCACAAGTATTGGTTTGGGAATGACAAATAAATTTCAGTAAGCAGGCAAATTCATAGGTATGGAATCTGTGAATAATGAGGATCCACTGTATAAGGAAACTGAGGCTCAGTGAGGTGAAGTCTCACAATTAGAGGCAGGCAGGAAGCAAATCCATGATGATCAAGATCCAAAACCCAGAGCACTTAACTGTCATTATTCTGCACTCATTCATTCAGAAAATGTTCACTAACAACTTCATATGTGCTGAGCACCAGGGCCATAGATGAATGTAATCTGGTCCCAATTCTTCCTGAGAATGAAAGAGAAAGCTGCCAGGTGCGGTGGCTCATGCCTGTAATTCCAGCACTTTGGGAGCCTGAGGTGGGTGGATCACTTGAGGTCAGGAGCTCGAGACTGGCCTGGCCAACATGGTGAAACCCTGTCTCTACTAAAAATACAAAAATTAGCCGGGTGTGGTGGTGTGCATCCATAATCCCAGCTACTCAGGAGACTAAGGCAGGAGAATAGCTTCAAACTGGGAGGCGGAGGTTGCAGTGAGCCAAGATTGTGCCACTGGATTCCAGCCTGGGCAACAGAGTGAGACTCTATCAAAAAAAAAAAAAAAAAAGACTTTCTCCTTCTCCTTCCACTCCTCAGTCCCTTCTTCCTTTCCCTGTTACTCTGCTCCTCAAAGGCCCCCTTCCCAGCTTCACCCTCCTTTCTGTTCCTGCAGGACTCTGTAGGACCCTTAGTACCACCCTCACAAACCTCATCTTTCGCCCATCCCCTTCTCCAGCCTCTACTCTTGCCATCCTCAGGCTTACAATATGACCTTGCTTCCATCAGCTTCTAGCAACTGTAACTACAAACCCACCTGCCCCTGCTCCTCCTCTTCCTCAGGTCAGACCAAGGCCTGTTCCCTTGGTCTTTATGGAAACCAGCCTTGCCTGCCTCCTTAGAGATTCCATCAGTGTAGAGAGTCTGCTTGGTGGTTAAGATGTAGACTCTGGTGCCAGGCTAACTGGGATTGAATCCTGGCTCTGCCACTTACAACCTGTGTGATCATGGCAAGTACCTGACCCTTTGGTGCTTCTGTTTCCCCATATTTAAAAATGGAGATAAGAAAGTCTATCTCATGAGATGGTTGTGAAGAGGAAAAAAAGCCTTAATATATGCAAGACATTTAAAATATGATCAGTATTATTAGTGTAGTCTGTAATACTATTAGCCCCTCTCTCTTCTGTCTCTTCAGCTGCCTTCTTCCACTATAAAAACAAAACAAACTTAGAAATCCACTTCCTCAGCTGGGCACAGTGGCTGATGCCTGTAATTCTATCACTTTAGGAGGCTGAGGTAAGAGGATCAATTGGGCCCAGTTCAAGACCAGCCTGGACAGCATAGCAAGACCTAGTCTGTTTAAAAAAAAAAAAATTCACTGGACGTTGTGGCAAATACCTGTGGTCCCGGCTACTTGGGAGGCTGAGGATCATTGGAGCTCAGGAGGTTAAGGCTGCAGTGAGCCGTGATGGTGCCACTACACTCCAACCTGGGCAACAGAGCAAGACCCTGTCTCAAAAAAAAAAAAAAAATTTGAATTTCCTCCATCTCGTAGCCCCACTGCCTGTGACTCTCTCCACTTTGACCTTCTTGCTCTGTGCTCATTCCCTACTGTCCCTCCCTTCCAGAGCAGGAAGAAAATCTCACTTGAAAAGCCCATAAATATTGTTACACAGAAGACCAGCAAACAGTTTAAAACCAAGTCTAAAAAAGTCCCCAGGGTCACACAGTTCATAAGCGACGGAGCCAGGATTCCAGCGCCTGGTCTGAATGACCCGGAAGCCAGGACTTTCCCCCGCACCTCTACATCAGGAGTGCTGGAGCAGGAAGCAGTCAGACAGCCCCACTAGGAATGATAAAGATGGGATCATGGAGCCTTGGAACTGGGGGTGGGTCCTTCATGGGACCGTGGTGCCACCTACTGGCAGAAAGGGAAGGGGTGTACACAGAGAGCTAAGAGAAGACTGGGAAGGGGAAAAATAAAAAGATGGGGAGGGAGAGGAGATGCAAAGATAAAGAGAGGGGAAAATGGGGAATGTGAGGTTTTATGGAGCGAAGAGGATTAGGAACTATTCGCTACTCGGAGGAGAGAGCAGAAGCTGCCAAATCTCGGTCATTTCCTTGAAAGTGAGAGAGAGAGAGGGAGTGTGTGTGTGTGTGTGTGTGTGTGTGTGTATGACAGAGAGAGATACGTAAGTACATACGCCAGATATTATTCTGTTGTTTGTTAGTTGCTGGGAGTCAGTCCACAAAGAGTTTAGTGTGCATGTGTGCGCATGCACGCACACACGCACACTCAAGTGCATTGAGGAATACTAGTACATGTTTATGTATGTAACTGGGTGCTTGCTGTGTGAACATATGGATGGCAGCATGGGCAGATGCGTGTGCATGTGAGCATGAGCACAGAGGGTATGTATGAGTGTATCAGCAGGTGCAGGGTAAGAAGCACATTGCACTGTTGTGGTGGAGGGCACACAGACATTCTGGGGAGTCACTTACCCCAGCCCTGGGCTGCTGCTTGAGATCAGGAGGGGCGTTGCCCAGGGCTGGTGTTGCCAGGCGGAGGCCTGCTGAGGCGGTGATTGTGGGGATCGGTCTCCAGGCAGCAGGGGGCAGCAGGGGCAAGTTGAGGCTAACTGGCCATGGGTGGGGCCAGCAGGCGGGCAGAAGGAGGCTTTAAAGCTCCTACCCTTCCTGCAGGTGAGCAGTGGTGTGTGAGAGCCAGGCGTCCCTCTGCCTGACCACTCAGTGGCAACTCCCTGGAGCTGCTCTGTCCTTTGTGAGCCTCAGCAGTTCCCTCTTTCAGAACTCGCTGCCAAGAGCCCTGAACAGGTAATGGGATAGGGATAGAGATTATCCTGTGAAGAAATATCAATCTGGAAACAGGTTTGGGGAGCTGGAGGGGCTCTAGTGAGGGTTCTGAGAGGGTCTGGGGTTAGTGTGGGGAGGAGCACAGGATATACAGGTGCCAGGAAAGGGCATGGAGTGACTTGCAGCATGGGAGTCAGGCTGGGTGTGCAGGTGGAGGAACCTGGGGTGTTAGGATCTCAGAGTGTCAGGTGCGGGTGGAGGTCCTGCGTAGTATAGAGGGGTAAGGGTGTTAGGATAGAAACTGGGAAAAGGTCCGTGGTGTCAGACCAGGTACAGGAGAAGCTTGGTGAGATATGGGTTCAGGATCCTGGGGTCTGGCATATCTGGCTGAATATCTGAAGCCAGGGCCAGCCCAGGTGGGGCCAGGGGAAACAAGGCCCTAACTCGCACATGTCTGCTTCCCAGGAGCCACCATGCAGTGCTTCAGCTTCATTAAGACCCTAATGATCCTCTTCAATTTGCTCATCTTTGTAAGTATGGACATTGTAGACTCTTCGGGGCTGCCCACAGCAGCAGGTCACAAGCTGAGCAGAGACTAAGTTGGGGAATGGGAGACTGCTATGCCCAGGCTTTGTCCTGCAAGTGTCCCCATATGAGTGGGATGCAGAGATCTCCCCAAATGCTGCTGATTCCTAGTCCCAGCAGCCCCCAGGTTGCCATACAGGCGTGTGTATGAAAAAGGGGATGGAGAAGCTCGGGGCAATGCCTCTCTCCCACAAAGCTTTAGCCCAGGCTTCAGGCAGGGCAGAGTAAGCTACCAGGAATGATTCTCCCCCCTTTATAGGCACTGGGGGCCCAGAAAATAGGAGGGCTCCACCCAAGTTCACCTAGCACAGAAGGAAATTCAGTACAGAGAAAATTCTTCTGTATGATGAGGAGCTGAAAGGTGGGAGGGCCTACATCTCATCAGAGCAAAGGGTCTATCTCAAGCAGCCCTTATTCATTTGACAAACATTCATTGTCTAGGATACCATGAGGGGTGCTGGGGTGGCAGGTAAGTAAAGCCTTTCTCTGCCCTGAAGGAGCTCAGCTCCAATAAGCCAGATAGGCAGATAATAACAACACAGTGTGTTTGGGCTTAGGACAGAGGTTTTAGGAGCCTGAACTTAGCCTGGTTGGAGAATACTTCCTGGAGGAAATAGCTGAAGCTGGGAAATTGCGCTTGGTGGGGGAGTTGTAAAGCTTGCATAAAGGGCCAGAAGTAATGAAACTCGATATCGTTCAGAAAACCAGAAACAGATTGCATAGGGCATGTTTGAGAAGCTGAGCCATGAGGCATAAATCCTGGAGATGGTGGTGGAGATAGGGAGAAACGGACAAAGTGGACAAAGGCCAAAGCTCTAGGATGATGGCTGAGGGGTAGAAGAAGGGGCAAGGGAGACAGAGGTCTTGGAGATGACGCCCATATCTCTGGCATGAGCAACCCAGATGGCAGGGGGTGGGGCCCCGTTTGTGGGAGGGGATGTCCCACTGGCAGCCGTGTACCCAGTGGAGGTACAGCTCAGATTGGAGCTGGCCATGGGTATTTGAAACTCATGTGCACACAGGTAGCCACTGAAGCCATGGGAGTGGATGAGAACACTTGGAAAGTGAACTCTGGGAAACCCAATTTATTAGGGATAAGCCCCCCCCCCAAAAAAAAGCCACTGTGAAGGAGATGGAGAAGGAGCAGTGGGAGGGGGGAGAGGAAAACAAGGAGAGCAAGCTATCAGAGAGGTCAAGGAGAATATGGCCCATGAAATGTTCACTGGATTTAGCACAGTATGTCACCAGAGACCCGAGCCACATTAGAGTAGGTTAGCATAAGTAAAAGTGAGGAAGTGGGCTGGGCGCAGTAGCTCACGACTGTAATCCCAGCACTCTGGGAAGCTGAGGTGGGCAGATTAGTTGAGCTCGGGAGTTTGAGACCAGCCTGGCCAATATGGTGAAACCCCGTCTCTACTGAAAATACAAAAATGTGGTGGTGCATGCCTGTAATCCCAGCTACCCGGGAGGCTGAGGAAGGACAATCACTTGAACCCAGGAGATGGAGGTTGCAGTGAGCCAAGATTACACCACTGCACTCCAGTCTGGGCGACAGAGTTTATATACATATTGATTAGTTTAGAAGCATGGATAGATTCTCTAGTTCTGATGTGGTCTGTGCCTTGGGCTTCCTTTGGCTGCAGGGAACTTGTTTTTGTTGTTGTTGTTGTTTCTTTGAGACAGGATCTTGCTCTATTACCCAGGCTGGAGTGCAGTGGCATGATTCTGGCTTACTGCAGCCTCAACCTCCTGGGCTCAAGGGATTCTCCTACCTCACTCAGCCTCCTGAGTATCTAGGACTACAGGAGTGTGCCACCATACTCAGCTAATTAAAAAAAAAAAATGTTTTTGTAGAAGCGGTCTCACTATGTTGCCCAGGCTGGTCTCGAACTCCTGGGCTCAAGTGATTCTCCCACCTCGGCCTCCCAAAGTGCTGGGATTACAGGCATGAGCCACTGTGCCAGTCCTGAACTAGTCTTTATCCATGTATCTGGAGGAGGCAATAGGATTCCAGGGATTTGGACAGCAGAGGCTCTGCCCTGAGAGGGTTAAAGGCAAATCCGGTTTGATTTCTGGCCTCTCTTACCCAGACCTTGCCAGGCTGGGCAGAGCAGGATAGGGCAGACCTCCAGCTCCTTGAAATTTGACCCTGCAGGCTAGAAGTCCAGCTTTCTGTCCTTGGGCAAACATGCCTGGAATCCAGCCACAATCTGCCACCTCACTTCCCGTTCTAGTCTCAGCTTTTATTCCTGGCAAGTGAGGATTAGGCACCAAGGTGGTGTCAGGCTGATTCATCCACTGAGGCCCTGGGCCGGGAGACTTTGCTCTAAGATGTGTGGCAACTACACAGGGCCCTCCTCAATCTGGGCCTCAGGATTCCCGCTGAGGTTTGGAGTTAAGTTAGACAGCCTTTAAGAGAAACTCTGGCTGTATTCCCACTAGTGCCTCACTTTCCTCTTGTGAGGCAAGGAGGTCTTGTCTGGATGAGGCCTGAAGTTGGATTCTAGAGGGGAGCCAAATGGGGCCTCAGGTGGGTGAACCTTCTCAGACTCCTCCCTCTCCAAGGTTGCCAGCAGGTGGAACCTCAGCCCTGCCTCTATTACTATGGTGACTGTTGAGCCTGTTCTGCTACCGCCCCGTCTCCACCTATCAGAGGACAGAGATGTTCTAGGCACCCATCACCCAGAAAGGAAATAGGAGGCTGGGACCTTATCTGCCTATTTTCAATCCTAGCTATGTGGCAGGACCCTGGCAGCAGTAAGGGAAAGGTTTGCCCCTCCCCCTACCCTGTGGATATTTCTAGAACCCCTGATCGCCTTTATATCTGCCCAGGTGTGCAGCCTGATCCTAGCTATGCACATCCCAGCTCCCATTTTTTCTGGCTCTAGAGGATGTTCCCCTCCTTACAGGATGAGGTTTTAGACTCCCTAGTCAATAAAGAGGGAAGTTTCTCGGCTCCCATCCTTCTTACTCAACTGTGTGGTAGTAAGCTACTTGTCAGCACTGTTTAAGGCCTGCCTGACGTCTCTCTCCCCAGCTGTGTGGTGCGGCCCTGTTGGCAGTGGGCATCTGGGTGTCAATCGATGGGGCATCCTTTCTGAAGATCTTCGGGCCGCTGTCGTCCAGTGCCATGCAGTTTGTCAACGTGGGCTACTTCCTCATCGCAGCCGGCGCTGTGGTCTTTGCTCTTGGTTTCCTGGGCTGCTATGGTGCTCAGACTGAGAGCAAGTGTGCCCTCATGACGGTGTGTCAAACCCAGCTCCACAGGCCCATGACCAAGAGTCCCCTTGCCCTTCACACCAGGCCCTGGGGTTCCCAAACCTTGCTTTGGACTCCCCTAGGCTAAGGCCTCTGTCTCACTTTTCCAGGGGGTGGATTAGGGCAAAGAGGGCTCGAGGGACTGTCTCTCCCTAAAATCCAGATCCCTGTTCCCCACTCAGTTCTTCTTCATCCTCCTCCTCATCTTCATTGCTGAGGTTGCAGCTGCTGTGGTCGCCTTGGTGTACACCACAATGGTGAGACACTGGGATGGAGGAAGGGAAGAAAATTGGGCAAAACCCTGGGAGTGGGCTGTGGCCTGTGAATGGCCACCTTCTGTACCAACCCCTAAACACTGGCCTGCCTCACCCAGGCTGAGCACTTCCTGACGTTGCTGGTAGTGCCTGCCATCAAGAAAGACTATGGTTCCCAGAAAGACTTCACTCAAGTGTGGAACACCACCATGACAGAGGTAAGGTTGGCTGGGGGAGGTTTTAGGGTGGAGAGGAAGAAGCAAGGCCCCACCTCCACCCTCATCTTGTCTCCAGCTCAAGTGCTGTGGCTTCACCAACTACACGGATTTTGAGGACTCGCCCTACGTCAGAGAGAACGATGCCTTTCCCCCATTCTGTTGCAATAACATCACCAACACAGTCAATGAAACCTGCACCAAGGAAAAGGCTGACCACCAAAAAGTAGAGGTGTGGGCTGGCACGAGTGGGTGGGGAGTTTTCATGGCCTCAGAGTGGCAAACAGGGATGGGAGTAGGGCAGCTGCCAACTATAAATGCTCTTTTCTCTTCCTGAAGGGTTGTTTCCAACAGCTTTTGTATGACATCCGAACTAATGCAGTCACCGTGGGTGGTGTGGCAGCTGGAATTGGGGGCCTCGAGGTAAGCAGATGAGGAGGCTGGGACTGGGATATGGGCACGAGACCAGGGCTGCACAACCCATCTGAGGCCTCCCTGGAGGAAACAGACCTAATTGGGCCTCAGGTAGGGTGTCTGTGGGACAGGCTTCAGGATCCCTATCATGTCCCCTCATCTCTCCCTGTTCCTCCCTCTCCAGCTGGCTGCCATGATTGTGTCCATGTATCTGTACTGCAATCTACAATAAGTACACTTCTGCCTCTGCCACTACTGCTGCCACAAGGGAACTGTGAAGAGGCACCCTGGCAAGAAGCAGTGATGGGGGAAGTGTCAGGATCTAACAATGTCACTTGGGCCAGAGTGGACCTGCCCTTCCTGCTCCAGACTTGGGGCTAGATAGGGACCACTCCTTTTAGGCAGTGCCTGACTTTCCTTTCATTGGCGGGTGG